GCCCGGCCCCAGCGCAGCCCCTCGCCATTTTTGTTTCCCGCGGAGGAGAAGCTGGTGCATTGTGGGAGCACAAAGAGCCGCGGCCCCGCCCCGCCCGCGCCCGCAGGGAGCTCCGCGGCCGGGGGCCGGGCCGCGCCGCGGCGGAAGGACACAGGTGGAGCCAAGCCCTGCCCGCTGCTGAACAAAGAGGGACTATTTTAGGCGTGCTCGACGGCACGGACGGGGATCTGCGCGCCCGCGGCCGGCGCTCGTTGCGGCGCGTGCAGCGCCGGGCCGCGGCCCCTATTGTTCCCTCGTCGCACCTCGGGCGACGCTGTGCGGCGTTGCGGGCCGCCCCGTCCCGTCCCGGCGCCGCCTGGGTGCCGTCCCGAGCGGCGCGGCCCCTTCCGCCTCGCCCCCGCCGCCCACCTGTCCCGCCCACCTGGGCCGAGGGCCGTGACGCCCCCGCCGCCGTCTAGAAGGATCCGGGCGGCGCGGGAAGGGCCCTGCCCGCGCGGGGCTGCCGCCTGCCCGCGCAGGTAGCGGCGCCCCCGCGAGCCTCCTGCAGGGCAGGCCCCGCCGCAGTGACAGTCACTGCCATGCTGCCATTTTGGGAGCTATGCTCGGCTGGGTTTCTGCTCGTAGCCGCAGCTGTGCGGGCAGTGAGACCGGCTGCTCATTCTTGACCCTCTCCACCAGCCTGATGTTAGGAATGGCTCCTTTGGCTATGGTATTGTCACGGCCTCAGTCGTGGCTATGAGTGGGTGCAGCCGCTGCGCAGTGACCCAACACAAAGGTGGCCCAGTGCCCTAAGCGCAGCCCCTGGGCAGACCTCAGAGCAGGAATCAACACAGGGACCAACGCGTGTAATAGGGCAGCGGGGAACCGCTGACCTGGGGCCATGACGTGCAGCGTGGCTCTGGGACCGGTGGCCGAGCTGCCCTGGCCGCCCCGCTGCGCGGTGGCTGGGGTTTAACGGCCTTCCTCCACAGACGGGTTAGTCTAGGCTGGCGGCCTCACAGGGGCAGCCCCTGTCTGCAGTCAGGCACTGACGCCGGCTTGTCACCCTGCAGAGGGACCAAGACAGGGAAGGTTGGGTAGAGCAGAGGAGGCTGAAACTGCTTTTGGTTTGACAGCTGGGTCTGGCCAACTCAAAGGTCCATGAAAATAATAATAAAAAAAATACAGTCTATGTCTTCTTGTTCGCGGTTGTTTAAAGAACAACTGTTAGGGAGATCTCCTCTCCGCCGCTGCCGCAGGCTTGCAGAGCGCAATAGCCAGGGCTGCTCTTCACATATTTTGAGATACTGCTAACAGAGTCAGGTACCTCAGGTACTGAAGGCCAGAAAGATGACGTAAGTCAGACCCTCTCAAAGCACAGGCCCACCAGTGCCAATTGTTTAGGTGACCACCACTGTACCCAAAAAAGAAGCAGAAAGCTCTCCATATTAGTGAGACATGCTGGCTCTATCCTCCATCCCATTGGGATATTGTTCCTCAAAAAGGTTTACTTTAACGCCATCAAAAAGTCAAGAGTTGCACGGCTCCATAAAGCACCACTTGTCGCACAGAGAACTGGAAGCTGCTGCTGGAATAACATCACCTTTATCGGAGGGAAACCAGGAATCCCCACAGTAAACAAGGATTATTAAAGTTTGATAAACTCGTTAGTTTGCTCTAAGAGGGATTGCACTAGTTAGTCTATAGCAGACTGTATCAGTATTATTCCCACAAACCTGACTCCATATCATGTTTTTTCGCTCGGAATTTCTATGGAGCACAATGTGGGCTCACAGCCAAATCCCAAATAAAGCCATTTTTAACGGCTATTTCCTTTTAAGGGCAGCCATTACTGATAGCTAAAAAAATTCCAACCCAAGTACCTCACACAGGCACCCCCTCTTGCATGGATGTAATTTAGTAGCTTTAGTTTTTAAACAGTTTAGGAGGTCACCCAATCACCTTCATGCAGCAAGCTCCTTTCTAGAGCTATCACTAACCATGTGAGCCTGATTTACCTCATACATTTACTACACCAAATAAATCAAATGTTTGTCACAGGGGCTATATTCAACTACTTGCACTCTTAGAGAAGAAATCTGCATCAGAACAGTCACCTTCATCGTTCTTTTGCCAACCTCAAGAGGTTATGATGGGGTTGGGAATCTGCAAACAGGCAAATTATTCTGTTATGTTTTTCAAATTAAAATGCTGAAGTCACGAAACACTGAAACCTATCATTGCAGCAGAAGGAATCCTAGTTATCACTGGCATATGTAGGGCGAAGAAGTAACAGCAGAAGTGAAAACCAGCCTGGTTTAGACACGGTGTACAATTCCAGTTACCATGAGACATGTACCAATAATCTGGCTTGGAGCCAAATAGACTCTTGGTCTGTGTTCTGGTCTGTACTAGTAGTACAATAGCTAGTTATTTTTTCTGTTAATATCCAAGCAGACCATGGCTTTAGAATGGGCTTTCTTGTGCTTTTTGTTTGGTTTTTCCTTTTGATAATGCCTTGAAAGAATTTGCACATACAGTTTCTGCAATCTCCACTGCTGTGTTTCCAGTTCCAGACACACTACATACACACTTTTTGGCACACTTCTCTTCAAATGTCAGTAAGGGCTTTCTTGTGTAGGAGTT